TTAAATAAAAATGAGCTTATCTGCTTATATAGTTCTTCTGACCTCCTGACCTCCACAAGAGATCATTTTGCTGTACCATCTATACCAACTGGTGCCAGTTCCAGTACATTGCATGCAGCTGATTATCAGACTGATACAGAATATGCCACAAGTTAACACAGAACTTTAGCGGGCAACAAATCACACAATAAAATGCCACCTTTGCTCTTGATCTTGCAGACTTTAAAGATATATATTACTGAATACACTCAGATAAGAGTAGCTTTCTAATGAAATTTTGTTTACACACAGTCACGCTCTCAGTCCTCCCAAATAACTAGGCTTTCAACACAACTTGACATGAAGAGATACATTTAAAGAAGAAAAAATTACACTCCTACGAAGTCAGTAAAGAACAGGTGCCATAACTATTTGTTGGCAGCAACAGTAAAAGAACACAGCATGAAGTCACCTCTTTTTGACACCAGGGAACCCACACAAAAACTCAGTCTTAGGAAAACAGGAACCAGGTTATGCAGCTCATAGATAAGATATTAAAGACCATCTGTAAACTGAGCTACATATGGTATATACTTATTAGAGGTGTTTTAGAGGCATTCTTCTTTCCTTCTGACTGAACTAAATTTGGAAGATGTCAACACAGATAAGCATCACCAGTAGCATCCATACCACACAATTCTCATTTGAATAATATTTATCTAGCATTACTTCAATAATTAATATTGAAGTAATTTCTAAGTGGTTGCAAACCACTTCTAGTTAGCTTCAGCATTTTTACAATTTTGCTTCATACTTCAAGAACAGTTGAGAGTATTAAACAGTCTAATCTATTAAACTGACTAACAAAAACTTAAACATTTAATGAAAGTGCAGTGGGATTCTGCATTACTGAGTCTGGACTTTTTTCCCTAAAGTTACAGAAAACCCCCAATGTTCAAATAACATCATTAAGCTTATGAAACGAGGCAATTAACAGAGGAGTGACATAAAATAACATAATTAGAACTGCCTTCGCAACACTTTGCTTTATAGCATAAATTGATTCTTCAGGACTAAATGGGAATATTTTTAAAGCGAAAAAGGAAACCATTGCTTATGCAGCTGCATTGTAACCCAATTCCTGTTTTTGCCACAGAATCTTATGTGATGCATGGCAGGTCAATTTTATCTTTTCACAGTAGGTTATTCAGATAGTGAAAAATATATAATGAACACTTGCTCTGTAACAGCCCACACAGAGCATTACGATACATTAAAAAGCATCAAATGCCTTTCTCCCAAATTAAATTCATAGCCCTGACATATAAATTTAGGCTCCTTCACAACATATTTGAGCAGTTCAGAATGCAGTTCACAAACCAACACACAGCTAGCCTATGGAAACTTTCAATGAGTAAGAGGTGTGGTTTAAATTTTCCCTTCCCATGGGCCTCACAACCAAACTAACGGCTCCAGTGGAACACGCTGAATGTCACACACTGCCTCAAATTCTTCTTAGACATTCAAACTTCTCCCCTCAAAATCAGAGCAGGTGTAGCATTTCTTTAAGATCACAACAAGCAGCAAGAAGATGCCCGTAATGAATTCCTTTCAGCCAGCAGCTCAGTGTTTAGAACACTTTTCCTGGCTCCTGCATTTTAGGTTCTCCTCAGACTGACACCCTCCAGCTTCCAACTTTGTAATAGTGCTCTGGAGCACCTATTTTGTTCTTTTTGTCTCTTCAGTCACCACTCCTTACACATTTGCAGTCTTCAGTCACAAGCCCATTTTTGTTCATGTTTCATTATACGAGCCATCATAGCAAAGAGTTTTAAATTTCCCCTTCCTGCTCAGCCCAGACTGAAGCACTTCTGGTAGAAAAGGAATTTGTGTAATTCAGCTGCTATATAGTAGTTACTTACTATGTGGTAAATTCACATTTTTCAGAAGTCGTAAACATATAATGCTAGTAAGCTTGCCTAATTTTCACGTAAGTGGCAAGAAACATTTCTACACAGAGGTCAATCCCAGACATGTTTCGTTCCTTCTTTAGTCCCTTCTAAAGATAAGGCTGCCAGAAACATTAGCAAAGCTAGGTATTCTTCCACAGCTTCATGGTGGTCTAAGTTTTTCCCCAAAAAGTTTGAGGTAAATACCTGGGCCCTGAAAAAAGGGGTATTATTATGGGATGTCAGGCAACATACTACCCTCCCTACTTCTGAAGCACACAGTCTCCTCTAATCGTTTCTAAATAACATCTCTGCCATAGAAACTAACAATACTTAGTGCAGCAGTAATCAGAATATAACTAAGCTATTTATTCTGTAGCTTCAAAATCCTCATTAAAATTAAATCATACCAAAGGTTTGGGTTTTTAATTACTATACCCTTATATATTTGCTATCAATTTTGTAAGCACAGTGCCCAGAAGAGACTAAATACATACCATCAAGGAAAACACATGCTTTCAACTCAGTGTCTGTTTACAAAAATGACAGCTACCCATACCAACATTCAGACCAGCGTCTTCTTCTTGCAGATTAATATTTTATATGCAAATGGAAAGCTTTAAGGTCTGAGCAATAAAAATGGTTCCAATCCTCAACTCACACAGCTTCTGCTTGGCAAAAGGGAAGATCAGATTATCCAGATTTCCAAAGAACAAAGATGAAAGATAAAGCAGAAACTAGAGTGCCCTTACTGGGAGGGGGAGTCATCACTGTATCTGGGAAGAAAGATACACACATTTACTTTAATATGACAAGAATCTACATTCCAAACAGATTTACATAAGAGGAAAATAAGGAAAATCACCCTAAAAAATGACCCTACTCCTCCAAGACACACTGTCTATTTGATATACTAGATCAAATAAGACATCACATGCAGAAGGTAATGAAATTTACCAACAGAATGAGCCTCCATATGAGGTATGTGACTGAAGATCAGTATATAGTAAAGCACAGGTCATTCTTTAACTATAGAATATGCAAGATTAAAAACGCCAAACAAAACATCTGTAGCCACAAAAAGTGAGGTGATTAACAGCTTTAGGAAACTGCAACTTTTTTTCTACCACTTGGTGGTTTTAACTAGAACAGTGTTTTGTTATTATACAACATATAAAGCAAATTAAACTTCTTAAGTGAACGTGCTATAATGTGCCATGAGAAACACTGAATATCAAGTAACAGGCTAGCGCTTCAAACTGCATTGCTTCACTTGGTATTACAGATCATGAGATCTTCTGCATTACCACGTTTCAGTTCATGAAAGGTAGAAGAAATTATAATATCCTATTTCTAGCAAACTTCAATTCATGGAAAAAGCCCAGGACTTGTAAAAGCAAGCCACAACACTATTTCTAGAAGATCCACATCAAAACACTTCCAGAGCAGGAGAAGCTGAGCAGCTAGCAGAAAAAATAGCCGATACATTGGCTGAACACACTCTGTTACAAAGTCCCTCCATGTATACCCTGAAGATTTCACGCCTGAAGAAGCACAGTATCTCCAAAGTCACTTTAAAAAAAAAACAAAACACAACAAAAGGTGGTTTTGCACTGCTCAGACTTACAAAACTGAAATTGAGCCTCATGCTCATATCTCAAAGTTTCTTGAAATTCAACTTCAAATTTTTGTCAATGTGAGTAAAAATCCACACATATATTTTGACAAAACATGACCTGAAATATGACAGTGGTGAAAAAATAAGCTAACTAAGAAAAAAATCTGGCAAATATCGGTAAGGTTTTACCTTGCAGGTAATTCTGTAGTCTGTAATTCAAGATTGGTTTTTTTCTACCAATGTGTTACTAAGAAAAAAAAAAAATCTGCCAAAACCCCGTACTTTTGTTATTTTAGCCATAAATTTCAATTTGGAGGTACAAGCACATAGAAATGCACACTCTCTTCTGCATAACCAGATGAAGATGGAACTATTCACCTACACTATTAACCAGATCTAAAGACACTTTTTAGAAGATTATCCAAGAACAACAGAGATCAACATCCACCCAAAGTGGAAGTGAGCTTAAAAACCAAATCAAATGTTAAGTATACTAAAGGGTCTGAAAGGCTGACATTTGTTATTTAATTTCCCGTCACCATAAATATAACTCCTTCATAAATATGCATTTGGTCAATACATTCTTTGATTTCAATTTTTATGTAATGATTTTGAATAATGCAAAACTAAGACTACCCACACCCACAGAAAAGTCTAGCTGTACAGGTTGCATGCAGGTGAGCAGTTTTGCATGTATTCTTAGAGGGCTAGAAAAGAGCCAAAGCAAATTTGCATTATTGTGCCACTGTGTTATCACCCTGTGTTGAATTTAGATGACAAATTGGCCATAGACAACTATTAATCTAGCAGTAATAAAAACATAAAGTAATAATCATGATAAATTTAAAATTTTTTTTAAAAAAATATGTAAAGTTACATTGTTAAAAGAATACATCAACAATAGAAATCAGCAGTCAGTTATGTTCTTTGTACCCTCACAGGAAGATTCCCAGGTGAATGACAAAGTATTTTGCCACCACAGCGGGCTTGACCACCAGAACCAGTAAAATGTGTCAAGAAGAGATGTCAGTTCTTTGATGAGGAGAAAAAGATATAACACGTTGAAACAAAAAATTAGATGCATCTGTTTATCAGCACACTTGCTAAAATGTCTACCCCTGACCTTCTTTCCAGCCTAGTCACAAAGGCTACACAAAAAAATCTCTAATGGAAAATGAAAGCAAAGGAAGCTGCATGGGAACAGCCTTCCCGATGGATATCTTTCAGTGTGTATCCCAAAACTGATGATAAACAGGAATAGGAAGGTGCATGTACAAATGCACCTGAAGATGTTTCCTCATTGCACCCTAGTACCTCTAGTTTATCATCCATGTTATTATTCAGTGCTTCAGGAACAAGATTTCCTTCACACTTTTCAGCAAAAATTAAATTTATCAGAAAGTGCTACTATTAAGCAGATGTGCCACATAATTAGCAACGACAAATCCACTTACTTTTTTCTCCTTCTCATGATGTTTATCCTGAGAGTGAGAGGAAGAATCACTTAAACTTTGATCATATGACCTATTAGATCCCCGTTTGCTCTTTTTCTAAAAAGAGAAAATATATTTATGGATAGAGAAAAGGAACCATTTGAATAAATAAAAAGTATAAAGCATTTCAACTGATAAGATGCCTTACTGCTTGAAGAAAAAAAAAACTCCAGTTACTGAAAAGCTGACAAATTACTAACACTAAACATTAACAAGACTACCCAATGTATACCAGGAAAAAAGCCTATCTTGATATCAACTTTTACACCTCCCACGAACTTGCAAGATATGCTTTCCACAAAGAAATGAGATATGGCACTTTTTAAAGGTTAAAAGATGCTAGACACATTTTCAAGTTTTCATAACATGAAACAGAAGAGATGCTGCTCAAATGAGTATCACATGAAGCCACAGTGCCAGCACTGCCACATGTTTGAAATGCATTGTGAGGTGGCTGCTTTATGGCTTCATGATTTATTATTCAAGTGACCTGTCTGCAATATTTTCATTAAAACGGTTTAAAAATGGGATACAGAATGCTATGGTCATGTATGCATTTACAAGAGGCAGACTTAATTGCCTGTATTTCTGTAATGTTTGAGAACCTAATCTGGGACTGCAAATACTTTATGCTAGGCCAGTGTTCAAAATGTTTTATCATCATAACTGAGGTAGCATTACAAAGACACTTCAGGTCAGTGCTTTGCCAACCAAAGTTTTCAGTGGTATAGTAGATATATGCCACCCACCATCTTCAGTAGTAAACAACAGTCACAATAATCCTAAAGAAACACTAAAACACTTAAATGATCTTGCCAGTCTTTACCATTCTTACCACCATACTTTTTGTAATGGAAAGTTAACTAATTACATGTCAAATATGGAGTTATGCCCTTATCATTAAACTGCTTTTTAAATAAGCATAAATGTTCTCAAACATAGCAGCACTGGAACATTCAAATCAAATGAGCAGTACTGCAAGAGCTTGCCTTCACTGCTAAGTAACAGACCATTTTTGTTCTTTTTGTGTACTTAGCTCAAGATAATAATAATTTTAAAAAAAACAGCTTAGTAAGGGCCTAGAAAGCCCTGACTTATCTTCATTATGAAGCAAACTCATCAATATTCACAAGAGCACAGAGCTAACCTGACCGAGCTTATCTTCTAGTAAGCTAAAATGGTTCATTGGCCCTGTGTTTTCACCTCATTGCGACCTACTCAAGTCGCCCAAGTATTCACCAGTTTTAGAAGTGAGAACAAGTAATTAGCAAGTTTAACTATACTTACAGCAGTAACCAAACTTAAGTCTAAATAATTTAATTTTCATTATTTGATATTCATAAATAACATTTTTTAAACATCAGTAAGTCCTTCAAGTTCACACACTCACACACGTACACAGAAAGAGATATTTGCAACTGTCAAATTGATAAGAAGCAATAGGAAAGACTCCAGAGGTCTGATCCAAAACCTACTGAAATAACTGAGAAATTTCAAAGTTTTTTGTTTGCTTGTTTGTTTTTGGGAGTTGGACTAGATGACCTCTAGGGGTCCCTTCCAACCCAAAACATTCTATGATTTTTTAAAAAATCAAAACCCAAGTTATTTCCTTGAGGTTGTGTTTCAGAGAACTTATAGGCAGAGAATATCCACTGGCTACACTGTGAGAGACAGACCAAAAGGAAAAACACTTTAAAAAAAACCAACCAAACAACAACAACACAAAAACCAAGAGTAACAGAAGCAGAAAGAAATGGAGGGCTTTCTTATTCTCTAATATACAGGATAACAAGTAGTATTTTCTAGATTATTCCAAAATGGACTAAATTCCTAGAAGCCAACTAATGAAATAGCAACAGAAAACATTACAGGAACTTAACAAAAAAAAACACTAACTGTGCATGCTATTTCTGGCAGAGGGAAAAAACCCACACATCTAGAAAGTAACCACTTGTAAAAACATTTTCAGTTAGTACTTCTGTAACTGCGATTAAAACATTGTTTTAATAAAACACAATATACTTTCTGAGCTACATGAAAATATTATTTCTAGTGTTCATAGCAATGCAGAGTGAAAAAATAAGTCAGTGACATTTATTTATAGAATTTAACAAATACATACCAGTTTACTAAAATGGTATTTACAGTAGCCACAGTATTGGACGTTATCTGCACCATTGCCTTCTTCTTCACAAAGAAGTCCTGCAAACTGTGCACTAAAAATAAACCAAAACAACATTCAAGAAAAGCAATTTTACATTAAGCTGTACCACAGTATCACAGCTGATAATGTACAGCTATTATTATATCTGCATTTACTAGAAGAGATTTCCATACAAGCGACTTCTAGTGGCATGCGAGCACATAACCAACCTTTGTAGCCCAGTGAAAATCATGTATGGTTTATACTTCGGCTTGATGCCGTTTTCATAGTCTTTAAGCCACTCACACAAGCTCATAGCTTGAAAATCTACATATATTATGCAGATACTCCCACAAATAATTAAACCAAGCAATTTACAATGATTCTTAGTTCAAATTCAATCCAAAAATTATCTATGGGAAGAACAGTTTTTAACAAAACCATACTGTAGGTCCAAAGAAGAAATTTTTCTAAAGTTGCATCCTTCTCTGCTTTGCTAGGAAAATTACTTTTTTTTATTATTTTTTAAATAGAACTTCAATGACATAATAAATCAAGCCATATTTATTGGTTTAAAAGACTGTAGCAGTTTAATTTCTTTTAAAAAGAACAAGACTGACAAGCTTCCTTGTCTGGGCTAATTATTACCTTATTCTACTATATTTTTTCAAATCAAATTTGCTTTTCATCATTTGTAATATTGATTTATTTTCTTTATCAAAACCAACTTAGACAATGAGACACTGAATATTCAGTTTCATTTTCCGTATCATTTTCATTAGCATAGTAATGCAATGTTACAGTCAAAATGATGCACGGGAGTATTAAATGAAAGAACAATATATAAGGCAGATTATTTTCATTTCTTTTTAAAATCACTTTCCCCTCATTTATACATTACATTCTTGGGCAATCCAGAAGTACTGCTTCCTAAATACATGCACACCTACAGCAGATGCCAACTACAGAAAACATTTAACAGGATCTCGTTAAGCTTGCCATACAAAAATAGATTGACTCAAGCTCATTCTTCATTAGACATCAGTTTTGTTAACCCAAAATTGATACACCTCACCCTGGATCTCTGCCTTCTGTCATTTTCACATTATTCTCCCATTTTTTAAATATTACAGGAGTCTCTCAATATCCTCAGTCACAATACTCTCTGGCTAGATATCATTTTATAGTTGGGTTGTTTGGGGGGTTTTTAAATTATAAAAATTGGAAAGAAATATTTTAATTTTTAGCTTAATTCTTATGGTCTTTACGGCATTCACTGAAAACAGGGGTTTGGAAGAAAGAAAAAAAAGACTCTTGCATGCATCCAAGTGTTTGAAAGAATGTATACATTTTTTCACATCTGTAAGTAACCTCTTCACGTGGTATGCACGTTTTGAAGAACACAATCAATTTTCACCATAAAAAGAAACTTGACATTGATCACACCCAGTGAAAAATTAGATGCTTATGAAAGAGTAAAACCTGCCAGATAGTCCATTTAAAGAAAAAAAGAGTTGCCAAGAAATCAGCACCTAAACTACAGAATTATATCCTTTAAGATCTGGATAAGATATTCAAAGGATCACTTGATTACACTGAAGAAAATACATTTAAGTAATCTAAGTAGGTGTGCAAGTACCATTTCCCTGGTCATGAAGAAGCATATTGGTGCACTCGTAGGATAGACAGGTAAACCCACAGATTATGTAGCTAGATGGTCTGTGTAAATCTGCTATCTCTTTATTGCAAAATAGCTTCAGCTGAATTTGAGAAAATGAATAATGCCTGTAAATTTTGGGGTGGAACACCTTTTACCTCCCTTTTACCTGTTGACATGTGGTTTAATCTAATTATCTAGCCTCTTTTAGAAGTCCATAAAGTGAGACAAGCATCTCCTGAATGCAAGCAAACCTAAATATGTGGAACGAATCAGATGGTGGACACAGCTGTTTTTCTGCAACAGCTATACATGAAACCTAAATTAATAGTTCAGGAGAGATGTGTACCATTTAGATAAAACCAGTGAGGTGAATTACCCCCAAATGGTTGGAAATCTGTACTGGAAGGGGTGAGTCTAGTGCATTTTTATGTATAGCTCAATAATTTTTCCCACTGATTTACCAGAAGCAAACATCAAATCAGTTTGCAGGTAAACAAGCAATGTCTTTGCATTCCCATATCCTGTAAAATATCATCTAAGAAAAATAACGTAAGAAAAAAAAACCCTAAACCTTATTCACAGGAGCACACAGCATTTAATACAACACAAGGAAGTAATATCAAACAGCTTTTGCAGCTCACAGAAATGCTTACACTGCCACTGCCATATTGTTAGTAAACTATTACTATCAAGTTAGATATTTCTACACAAACCACTTTACTATATTTCTTTACTCAGAAATATACTAAATAAAGGAATTTATACATTACATTGTGTGTATTGATTTTTTCTGGAATATCAGAGATGTTAAATAATAAAACATACTTACCACGTTACGTGAAAAGCTTGTCGACATCCATGTTTATTACATGTCATACAAGCACCAGTGGCTGCTTTACTTTCTCTGCCTTGTTCATCACAAATATAGCATGTCTATCAAAGAGAAGATACTTAACATGATAAGAAGCATACAAATAAATACTGTGTTACTCACAGGAGATTCTAGGGTGAGAACTACTGGATTTTGCAGCTAAGCTTATATAAGAACTTCTTTATAAAAGTCTAATTACATTCATTTGCAAAAGGAGATCACCTGGTACACACTTGGGATCTGTGTAATGCTTCACCAACGCAAAAGCAGTACAAATACTGATTTACTTAAATGTTATACTGCTATTCAACTAGCCAAACAGTCAAACAGCCACAGGTTAATAACATTAGGCTTCAAGATTTTCCTTGCTTTCAAGCTTGTGTTTATGTCCTTTTAGGTTGCAATCATTTCCACATTCATTTAACATTACCCGTATTGGTGGCATTCAGAAACATCCAATCAGACTAAGTGCGTAATAGTACAAGATACCATGTGTTACACATGCATATGTCTACAAAATTACATATAGAAAAACTGCAAATTTAAAATTTTATTTGTACATTTGGTGCAAAAAATTTTCAGAAGTCTCATAGCATGCTTCAATATTCGTATGATGCTCAGTTACCTTTAATAAAATATGGTGTTTAACATAACTCTGCCTTAATTTCAGCATGACTTGGACAGCCCCATAAACACCTTAGAAACTAATCACGCTTAAATTAATTAATTTATCAAACCCATTTTTTCAAGTTCAAAAACAAGGTAAAATTAAAACAACCTGTGTAATGCCTGAAAATCTTTTCATAGCATTTCTGTCAATTTATTTGTTTTACTGGGATACTAAGGCAATTTGTAATATTTTCAAAAAACATTCTCAGTAAAATGGAAGAAAAAAATTTAAGACAAAAAGAATCCAAAATCTTCCTCATTATTCAATACTTTTTTTTTTTTACCATGCAGCCAATAAACGTGGATACATGCTGTATGGAAGCTTACTATTATACTAGACATCACTACAACTTCTCACCAGCATTTCAGGGAGAAACATCAGGCAAAACTAAATTTCCCATTTTTTACAGTCCTAGTTACTGAAATGCCATTTAGAGAGATTCTATCATATCATGTTTATGTGTAAAATTTTACAATTTAAGAACAGATTCTTAATGAAAGTATCCTCCAGCACTGGGGCAGTCAAATGTCTAAGTGAGACAGAACCTTATTGAGGTAACAGACATCAAGGACACACTGCTACCTCTGTAGAAATCCCATTACAAGATCTTAGATGAGAAAAGAGAAACCTTTCCCCCCCAAAAAAGAATTGTCTACATTTAAACTGTGACTTATTGCAATTGTATCACAACTTCCTTTCAGTGAGGCAGAGAATGAGTAGAATAATAAATAAAAAGACCATCAACCATGGGTAGTAGAAAATACAGTTTAAGAAAAATGGACTAAGATACCACTGAAATAAAAAATAAAAAGGCTATAATGCAAAACCAGTATTACTCAGAAAGACATGAAAATGAGTGAAATTCTGAGATCAGAACAGCCTTTAACAGGTATTCAGAACAATATTGAACATGAGATGTCAGCTAACTAAAGCATTTTTGTTAACATGCAAGACTCTAGGGTAGGCGAGTCATTCTTGTACAGTTTCCACAAGAACTTTAAAAAGCATTAAACCCGATAGCTAACTTATCCTAAAATCATACCCTATATCCTAACATTTGAAAGATCAGAAAGGGGATAATCCTACTTAATTCTTTGCCTTGCTCCCTTTGTACATCAAGGTAGCACATACAGATAATTCAGTTGTTTGACAGGCTCTGAGACTGGCTGCTTTTTAGCTTTCCATACCATGACCTGGCACATTTAGATTTTAGGAACAAACAAAGTCATGATCTATCAACCTCATCTGAGTAACTATATTAAGTGTAAGTAACTTCCGAAGTAAGGTACCTCTACAAACAGAGAGTTCAACAGACCCCATAAAACTCAAGCTCCAGTTACCGTTCTGTTTTTTCAGAGTTTTGCCTTAAGATCTGTAATTTTTTTGCTCACTGAAGCTCAGAAAGAAAAAGCAATATAAGCATTCAATTTAGTAAGGATGTAAGCCCTGTTTTTCAATACTGCATATTACATTTAGGCTCTGTGATTCAGGACCCTTTAAACCAATTTACAGTAAAATTATTGAAAAATTACAACAACCAACCAGCTACATTATGAACAAGTTTAAACAGAACCTGGTGGACTGCCTACCCATTTTAACAAGCTCAATGAACTTCTATCCTTCCTACAATAGTCATGAGAAGTATAAACCATGTCTCCTAATCTTCCATATGAAACAGGACCAAAGAAGGTTCATCTTCCCATTCCAACATGGACAGTTAAGTTCTCTCTAAAGCTGAGCTTCTTGTAATTCTACCTTCTCTTAGACACAGAAACAATTCCGGAAGCCTGAGAACCTTTATCTTTCTTTCACAAAGCAGAAAACCAAATACTTCCACGCACTTGCAAATCCATGCAATTGCTACAGCTCCTCTGAAACCTCTGGAACATGGAAGTCTAAAACACTCCATGTCGCACCACCTACAGCAGCACTGCTCTTCAGAGCTCTTAAGGGAGAAGAGTACTTAGACTTCTCACAAACTCATTAGCAAATAAGCAAAACATTACACAAAGCTTTCGACTCAGCAAGGAAATTTTACTCAAAAAACACAACAAATATCTGTTTCTTTAATGGCAAAATATGTATTTTGCAAAGCTGCCTTTGTGTTTCTGTCAATATTTTTTTCCAAAGATTCAAAATGTAAACCTTCTTTGCAAAAGGACAGAAGGAAAGATGAGGCAAGAAAAACCTTATAAAACAAAAAGTAATTTGAGAAATAGTTTACTCGTAACAGCTACCCAAGAGCATTCCCTGCTTACAGAATCAAACCTAGGAGTTGTACAGAGATTTCTCATTGTTGCAGCAAGTACTGAAATAAAAGTCTAACAGCTGCCTTTAATACCAGGCGGATCAAGAAATTCCAAATGCATTTATTTTTTAATCAGCTCTTAAAAGAGATTCCTCAAACAGTAAGTATATTCAATTGTCACATACTTTCAAATGAACCTGAAAGAGACAAATAAAGCTCACATAAAATAAATAGAGATTATTCATGCATAACCATCAAAGCACTAACAAACATGTACTAAACAGGAGAGCAACTACTAGTCTGTTTCTTTTTGGAAGCAACTGTGTAAGAAGCGCTTTCCTGTTAGTTAACCCACTAATCAAGTAACTCAGTGGATTCATTCTGTAATATGATGGTTTTTATCCCAGAAGCAGGTAAACTTCAGGGAAAGACCAGCCAAACATCTTTACATTTACAAGCCTCGTGTTGGTGTCTGCTGTGTTTCTTTTTGCATTTAAGATTACTGCACTCTATAATACAGCATATTTTGCAGTGCTCAATAAAGAAGCAAGTACACAGAAAAAAAAAACTGTGTAAATTAAGTACTACCTCCTGGCAAAACTCCAACATTTGTTTCTATTTTAAAGACTATAGTATAAATTTTCCCTTATGATAATTTTGACTGCCCTGTATTTTCCCCTCAATTCCATATGCTAGCCTTCTATACGTATTCAGCCACTTATGCAGACTTATTTAGGACTTCACAGGAAATAGAATCTTTCTTAAAATCATCCTATTCCAACCCAAGTTGACAAACAGAATGAAATTAGCACTAAGCCTCTCTAAAAGGAGAAACAGCTCTAGTAATTTTTCCTAATTACATGTTTACATTTGTTCACAATGCACAAATGTTTTAAGAACTGTTTGCCATATCCACTTCTCAAAAAAACAGCTTTTCTTTCCATTTCCTCACAAATTGATTAATGTCAGAGTTAAATGCTTTACAAAGTTTCTGGTCTAAAAAATGTATCATTGAAATAAACACAATTTGTACTGAATAGCAAGGGGGGTAGGGAGGTGAAGTTATTGCAGTCTACCTGAAAAGGGAATTAGTAGTTGTATCAGTTTGGGGCGTATTGCTCAAAAACAGCCTACTCGGGAACTGGTGGCAGTTTAGCCACAGCAGTACCAAACTCAGCACTGGCTACAGATTTATCAAAAAAGTTGGGAGAGTTCCCAGTCAGCAACTGCCTCTTAAATTCTGTGCTGGTACAACTAGACTGCTGTTGGCAGTGAAGTTAGATTGGTTTCATGAGGTTTGCTGCAGCAACTGCACTATAAGACATTTCTTTGATGCTCCTGAAATCCACAACCGCTATCTCCCTAAACCAATAGACCAAATAAAGACAGCAAAAACTGGGTTCTGTAAAAAGAAAGGAAAAAGAATCATTTGCAGGCCAGGGGCGTGACCCCAAACTTTGAAATTTCCAATATAGCTCTCATTATATTTTACAATATACTGTAGTGGCCTGCATTAAAGTAGGTTCAGGCTGACCGTTATCATGAAAAATAGGCCTGAATCAGAACACCCACCAAAAATGAAGGGGAAAAAAAGAAAAAGCTAGACACCATCAGGAACTTCATCTACATGATCTGTACGGCACTAGTAAACATCTAGCAAGCAAAAAAAAAATCATGGTAACTACAGAACAACAAAACACATATTGGAATTTTAGCAGTAAAAAACAACTGTACATTGTATATTTGGAAGAAAAACAGTTCAAGAAAGAAGCAACTTTAGTTGTAACAAAAAGGAATTAGAGACTAAAGACACAGACCAACAATGGACTTTGTGAACAAGTAATATTAAAAGACACAGGGTACATTTTTTGAAGTCACAAGGATTTACTCATCCAGTATCAATTACCATCAGTGGAAATGGTGCAAGATAAAACAAAATCCAAAGTGTTCCACAAAATTTTTAAGTACATTAGCAAAGAATCACTACCAATAAAAAAAACCATTATGACTACTACTTAAGGAAAAATGAGAAAACAGATGAGCTGTTGGCCCAGAGTTGAGGAGAGAGAGAGAAAATAAACTCATCCGCCACAGCAAATCTGTGCTACTTTGTGTCCAAGTACAAAAATTTTATTAGTTCTGCACTTAATCTCACTGTTGCATGTTCTTGGCAATGCAGAAGAAAGCCAGTAGTGAGGAGCCAATACAGATGCTCAGGTAGTACATAATGAGAAAGCATGAGAAAAACCTAGATTTTGACTCCCGGCTTTTCAGATACTCTGGTAAATAAGATGGGCAAAACATACTGGCAGCAACTGTGAGAATGTGAAACAGACAAGGAAAAGACCAAAGTATGAAAAAGGATAGGAAAATGGGAGGGGGGGGCACATAAATCAGAGACGAAAACCGAGGGGGAAAAAAAAAAATAAAATAGGAGGTCACAAAGACAACATGAACAGGACTTGTTTCCCTGTAAGGAAGAACACCAGAGGTGATACGTGTCTTTTCTTTCTCTCTTTTATAACATGGTCCATTCCTCCTTTACCCCAGTGCCCACAAACCACCGTACAATAAAGTAAAAGAAAGAAACTAGAGGCAAAAAGAACAACACAAGAAAAATATGTAATAAAACTAATCAGAAATTCAGACAGTTTGCAGCTTACAGAAGGGAAAATATAAAGATACAAAGGAGGAAGTAGTTAAGTCCAGTGGCAAAGAGGTAGCACAAGTTAAACAAGCAGAAAAGTGTAACTATCAATATAGAACATAACAAGTTACTTTTACATTGCTTTGCCCTTTTTTTTTTAAATAAAGTCTCACCGCAATTTATAAAACATTCCATTTCACCGACATTTATTTAGGAGCAGTTCTTCTACAAGCAAATAATCCCACTAAAGTGAATACTGTTTACAAAGGCAAAAGTCTGCAAGCTTTTGCCTTAATATATTAGCATAGCTTTTCTTCCTAAAAGAAATGTTTATGAACATCATATCAATACTTAAAACAGTAGGACTTAGTGGTAATTAATAATAACATTTCAAATAAGCTGTAATAATATTTTAACCTATGGGAAATATTTCACATTCCTTTAAAAATAAACTGTTATTCAAAGATCATGATATTTTTAATTAACAAAACAGTCCCTAATCTGTAAAAGAATAATGAGACATGGCAGATAACCTTACAGTTTAATTTAATAATATAACTTTCTTAATTCTTGAATTAAAGGCTCAGCAGAAAACATACAGCATTACTACATTCATTTATGAATTTGATATAAAGTGCATTCCAAGAAGTGTAGTTTTAAATTATTAAAGCTCACAAGTTTTAAAATAAATACATTACATATAGATAAAAAGACATATAATTATACCTTATTATAACGATCATGCGGAACAGACTGCAACACGATAGGTTCCATCGTAGAAACATTTGCAAACTGCACCTCGGGAATGTACAGAGCACAAACCACATGAGCCCAACCTACAAAAAGTTATAATTGTATTTAATTTAAATGTTTTCTAGAAGCTCAAAGGACATTTCAATTATAGTACAATGAACCTTTTACAACACCTTTTCCCATGGACTATTTTAACTGTTTAGAATATTACAGACCTAAGTTACTTAAGTCATGTTTACATTTCATTTTATATTATCCGAAGTTTAGATGAGCCATAATACATTTTTAGGTTTATTTAGTGGAGAATTTATATAAATAATACTCCACAAAATCCAAATACTAATGATTTATACAAAGAGTGACACACAAATGGAAAACCAGGTTAATTCTTTAAATTTCTTGGATTAACATAGTCATTGAGTAAAAGCTATGCAAATTCCTACAAAAGGGAAATATCATCTGAATAAACTAGTATTCATGCAAGCATTACCATCATGTAAGACTTCTGTGTATACTTTTTATTAAACAAAGTCATTCTAATTTGACTAGATTCCTGTATTTTTTCTGTAGAAAGAAAACCCAACACACACACACACACACACACACACACACACACACACACACTCTCTCTCAAATCTTTTCTAGTTGCTTCCGACTGATCTCCTCATTCCCCATTTACGAAATTGGTAGTTATAATTTGTATACAAAATGAAAAGCACACACACAACTGTTACAGCATAACACACATCATTCCAGTATTTCATCTGCAACTAGATACAGTATCTGTGCTGCTTCATCATTTTATTCACAAACAGTTTGTAGAACTATTCCACACAGAAAAAGCATGAGACTAGTAAGAGCAGGGAAAAGAAAGTATAAGCTGCCAACTTGAGCTGCTTTTACAAATGGTTCAAACAGACCATTTTTAAATTATCATTACCACATTGACTGAAAAAAAACTATTAAAATTGCAGTCTTTTTTTGTTCTCTCTTCTACTTTAAGTATCTTCAGGGAATAAGTGTTTATAAGGACTTTTCTAAGACTTGCAAACTGCCCTAAGCCATAGTCATCTTACTAACAACAGATAAATAAATGTTAACAAGGTGTTAATGGTAAATATTTATCTTTAAATCTCCTCTCAAAAAATTAACTCAAACAGAAACGCCATTCATCTAATAAAGCCATTAAACCAGTACAAAAGTGACACCAAAATTTTGAAAAAAAACCTTCTTCAGTTAGTTACTCATAAACAGACGGCAAAAGCTTTTACTTCAGATGTAGTTAAGCCTGTACTCCAGTTACACTTACTTATAATGAAAAATTATTATGTAAATATACAAAATATACTAGAAACATTAAAGAAAACCACTTACTAAGCTAACTGAAATTTAGGTAAGTAAAGAATTTTCACTACAATAAACCACTTTCAGAAGTAACTTTAACTGAATACTACTCCATCACTATAAAAAAAAAAGAACTTAAACAATATAACCAGAAACCTACAAGCTTAATACATTCTGATTTCAAAAAAATATAGAGAGCACATCCAGGATAGTTGTGGGCAACAGCACACCTTTATCTTTTATGATAACAAAACCAGTATCAATATAATGAGAAAAAGAAGCACAGCAATAACACACTTTTTGAACAAGGGATCAATAAGTGTCCAGGGAACTGAGGACAAGGGACCTTCTCCATCGGTTTCCATCTGGTATCTTTAGATCCCAGATAATCCGACTTTGCCATAGGGGAGGTTGTATCACCCTTCTATTACCAGCCTCAAACACCTACATCATAAAAGAAGCGTAACTCCAGCACCAGCTCCCACTAGGACTCAAGAGACACTGTACACAACTGCTTATATGTTCTTTTTTCCAAAGTTTCACCAGTGAAGAAAGATGAAATTGTCAGAGAGCAATACCAATCTCATCTGGAAGAACCAAAAGAGACAGAGGCTCAGCAGCTCTCCCTGAAAAAAGAACAAGGAATACACTTTTCCATAACAAGTGAGGTTAAGGACTGATTGCCTAAAGGTACTATAGAATCTCTATCCTTGGAGAACTCAGGAAGGTCTGCAAACTCCTCCACAAAACTTGTCAATGTAAGGGAGGTCAAGAAGATTCAGTTTTGCCACATAAGGACCAGATAGTAGTGGAGGAAAACAGAAAAGGAAGGAAACAACTATCATCTTTTTCCTAAGCATCAAAAGACTAGTCACTGTTGCTACAAAGAGTACACACATAAGCAAGGACAGCTACAGCCAAACAAAGTGTGATAGCTCTCCTCTGTCTCACTGATAGAAGAACAAGCTACTAGCATACAAGTAGACTTTATTTTTAATGTTTTCTGCAACAAAGAGGCCTCTTGACTGTATAACACCGTGAGAAAATGCCTCCCTCATCCTCCACTGCCACTTCCTTCTCTTTTAGACAACTACTCTCAGGCAGAACACAGGGTTCAGAATCCCAACAGAATAAAGTACCTATTGCCATGTTTCAGAGTTGAGTGTTTTTGTCTACCATTTCTTACTGGATGACAACTGCCTACTTTGTCTGCCAAGATAATGAAACATCCTAAAGAGACACCCAAGCAAACTGTACATAGAGCTGATAAGAGAAGCAAGCATTTATAAGGACTTATGATATTTAAGACTATATTAAAATATGTATTTTTCAATTAACTCCATCTAAGCCATAAAGATAGCACTGTAAACTTTTATTCAAATCACTGCCTACATTATTCTTGGGCAACTATCAGCTTCATCAGCAACTAGATATCTTTTCCTTTTTATCCCCTCTAAGAAAACCATCATTAAATCCAGCCCTTTTGAGCTTTCCCAACGTTTAAGCATGAAAAATACTGTTGTATACCCATGTATTAGAGTTCAGAAAAACCCTCCAGTAGCACAGTTCTACACATTCAATAACATTTAAAACATTCTCACTAGTTTCTCTTGGAACTGAAATTAATTTATCACCATTCCTCGTCACCCAAAACACCGCACAGAAATAACAGGATACTCTGAGACTTTTCTTAATTGTTCTCCAAACTTAGCCAGGAACTCATGCCGTTTTTCAGATCACTTTTGTTCCAAATGGGTTTTTTAGAACGCTCTGTATAGACCACATCCTTTACTATTTAATTCAGTTATAAGCTCCCATTCACTTTGGTTGCGTATGGTTTGCATCCAAACAACTGGCCACAGATTTATTACTCATTTTTATTTTACTAACAAATTCTTACTATTGCCACTGAATTGCTTACACTCAATTTGCTTTTGCTTTCATCTCCCTTTCAGGACAACTTTAATTGAAGGGCGGTGGAGGTGCAGATGTTTTTTTAAATGCAGGTACTGTCATCTTGCAAAATTTTCTTAAAATTCTCCCCATCCTCAAAATTTTCTTTTCTTTTTTTTTTTTTTCTTATTTGACTTACTATTCTTAATCTTTGAGAAGGTGGCCATTTTATGTATGTGCTTTCTCGATACTTAATAATAATATTTTTACTAGATTATAGTATCTGGCTTGCTTATTTTAAAATAAACTTAATTACTTGTTTTTCAGCTAAAGCCTAAGAAATGTATTATAAGCAGCCATTGAGTTTGCTTGTTCCTGTGCATCCTTATCAGAACTGCTTTCTCCAAAGCCACTGAAAAAAATACTCACAGCAGGCTGCCATGGGCTGGCAGATTCACTGCTGCTTTTGCTTTAAATGATCCAATAGTCTACAACAATCAATGCCTCCACCCAGAAATTGTAAAATGTCATCAGTTTTTGGTTATTTCTTATTTGAAACAACTTATTGGTGACAGCCAAATTAAAATTAAAAATATTTACTTCAACTGTGCTTTCAAGTCCAATAACCTTGGGAAATGCTGCTTACCTTTCAAAAAAAAAAACCACTGTGCTTTCTAAGATAACATTGCACAAGTATAGCTAAGACACTTTCCATTGAAGAGATCTTAGGAAACAACTTCAACCAACATTAAAACAACATCAAAACCACACATAAACCAACTCCAAGATCTACTTTGATAACAATAATAATGAAAACAATTTTCTCCAATATCAGAAATTTGAAATTCATGCTCAAAAGCCTTCAAAGTTTAAAGAAGTCTTATGAAACATTCAGCCTTTCATTTGAGTGTTTTTTTTATTTTGATTTATCCCTCAGAAAGACAGGCTACTGACTTTTGGCAATTTTCACATCTCATTCTGGCATGGAAAATGTTTAATTACCAGCACAGAATCTATCCAAAACTTTACCAATCTTCTGCTGTTTATTTAAGGTGCCTAACTAATTTTTAACTCCGTGAACACCTATCAGTACATACTTAGCAGGTATAATTTGAATATATATTATTCATTAACATTCAGAGTAACAAATCTCAGGCTCCAGAACTGTAACTGAAAATAAACAGTTGATTTGTTATCCCAATGAGACAAAGAACAGGTAACTCCTAACAATTTCATCATCAGCAAATAAAAGACTATTGCCAACAGAGAATTCTATAACTAGAAGCAAACTCTTAACAAAGTAATCTAAAATTAACAAAGAAAACCAGGAAGATAAATAATATACAGTACATTATCCATCTAACTAAATTTTTGCCTTTATGACTACTGTTTAATGTGTTCAAAATCTGACTGACAGGCACTTTCACTGTAAATAAATTCATCGTACTTTTAAATCATCTTTCGGTGCAAAATTTGGAGCCTTGCTTTTATAACCTTTTAATTCATAATAAAATAACAGCAACAGACTTATAATCCGTCCTACCATACAAATCAAGGGACGTCTACCTATAGCTCGAGAACTAACAGACACAGAGCAGGCACTACACTATTGCTACGTCCCGTTATCAGTGCTGAAGCTGTGCCGCAAAGCAGTAACAGACTGTAGAGGCCAGAATCATGAAGTCACACTAAGATCCAGCCAGAGTGCCAGTTTGGTCCCACAAGAAGGCTCTGGGATGTCATCACCACCTCCTAACCATGCACCAATTCCAGGGCAAGATTTTTTTATGCATTGTGTGTAAGTTCCTAAAGAGTCCATTGTATCTCACCAAGGAAATTTTACTTT